ATGATCAATATTAGTATTGTTAAAACTTAACAATTGATGTTTATGAGAGATAACATATTTTCTTAAAGGTAATACAAAGTTTTGGGAAATTTTGAAAATTGGGTGGATAGTGATTCTTTACAATTTTGATATATTTGGATGCCCCTGTGGATGCATTATAAGCACTAGAAAATTTGGATGAATTTGGATGAATTTCAAATAGCGCCTACGCCCGTACAATAGTAGCAGCGACCATGAAAATCTCAGAAAATGTAGTTGTGGTATATAATTTCCAAACGGGAATAGCTAATCGGTTGATTTTATTCAAGAAACATTGTTTTATAGCTTACTTAATATCTTGGCCTTGAGAGGGAGCTGTACAAAACAAAGAGTTCATTATTTCCAAATTTCCTAACTTTAGACTCGATTTCAACCGCGACAACGATCACTGAGTATTGCAGGATCGCATATGCTTCTAATATGTTCATTTGAACCAAATTCATGACCCCATACCATAACTTCGTATTATAGCGAATGAAATTGATTAATGATGTGTAAGTTACAACTTAATGTAAAGTAATAAAATATTATTAAGAGGATATCGTTTATACATGTTGTTCATTCTGAAACCTGTTCTCAGTATGTGTGAGTGCGTGTGTATGCGTGTGTGCGCGTGTGCGTGTGTGTGCGTGTGTGTATGTATATGTGTGAGAGAAAAAGAGAGAGAGAAAGAAAGAGAAAGTAAGAGGGTGAGAGAGAGAGAGAGAGAGAGAGAAGGAGAAGAGAAAGAGAAGAGAAATCGAGGAAGTAAGAGAAAAAAGACCGAGAGAGAGAAAGAGAGCATGTGTGTGCGCGTGTATGTTTGTGTATGACCTGTGTGCAAAGAGATACTTGATAGGGATATAATTGACAATATATTTTAAGGTGGTTGAAAAATTAATTATTTGAAAAAACGATTCCCTTGAGATCCTGATGGGTAAATCTAGATAGATGTGGTAACAATTTTTTTTAACGAATTATAGAATTAGTGATTGCGGGATCTCTTTATCACCAAATGAAATTCTACGAATGGAAATGTCTTGTTCTGTACCTTATAGTATTCCCCTTAATAGAAAATCAATTGATATAAAATGGATGCGTGAAAGAAGGAAATAGATTACAGCTTCCTGAATGCATCTTAGAGGAGTTAGATTGCTATGCTTATAGTATTTGAAAACAATACTATTTTAAAGAGTGTGGTAACGTAACAATGAAGAATCATGAGAAATTGTCTCCATATACGAATACCCGAGTTTCGATTAGTTTCACTTCTGTAAGTATCTTGACTATTGAATTGATGATATTAAATGGTTTCATGTAGGCTGTATGCATGCCCAAAGGTTATATACTTTCCGAGGTTCGTTCTCCCTGTACGTTTCTTGTATTCGGTACTGCTTTTCCTCTACGCCCTTTACTGAACATTAATCAGACTGTATAATACTACTCTGTACATGTGCATGATCTTGTACAAGCTTTACTTTTTATTAAGGCTCCTCACATTTTACATGGTTTTTAAATTGCCCTGTCATATCTACACTTCCCTCGTAACATCTTGATGTTTACCATATATTATACTTCAAATAATAATAATAATAATAATAATGGCTTCTTATAAAGCGCACCAGGTCCGTCAGGCATGACGCTCATGGCGCTATACATGCAAATCCATATACGAATACACAAGAAGATACAATATATCTATGCAATATTAACTTATTGAACCTAAAGCATTAAACTAGAGGAAATATGAAATACAAACTTATGAATATATAACGAGAGGAACAGGAAGTAAACAGAATCGTTGCTGTATTCAGCACCGGTTATTCTTTTAATATATTGTTATAATGATTGTTATTATTCCTATTACTATTGCTATCATGATAACGATGACAATTAGTATTATTATTGTAAAAATTATATGTATCTTATTTAAATCTTTATTCTATTTGTAGGCTATAATGTGTGTTGCATACATCTTTTTATAGAAATATGAAGAACATCTGAACTTTATCTTGAAACTTGATTTAAACAAAATGTATAACTCAAAGGTATTTCTTCCAACAACTTTTCTTTTGTGATTCCAAGTCTGTGGTGCATCTATTATATAAGAACTTATTCATAAACATACTCCAGTACGTAATCTTTAATAATCATCACAACATCTTCTGGTTGTACACCCTGTAAACATGAATACAAACGGAAACATCTCCTTCATGGCATCACTTCCTGCTCTGTGGAATTCTCAACCCATTACCATTAGACAAATATTTTCTCTCGATACTTTTAAGAAAGCCCTTAAGACCTACCATTTCTTACATTGATTGATTGGTTGCCTTTTTATACATATTCCATGCAAACTTTACAAAGTATAATATATTTTAAATAACATTAAAGTTTCTTTAAGTAATATGGAAATAGATAACTCTAAATCATAGTTAACAACAACAAGAAAGAATGTTCTTTAAATCATTGTATACGGAAATGACTAAAAGTAAACCTACTTAAAAGCCAGACTTGTTGCGTGTATGTTCAATGATTTAAGCTACTAATCAACATGTATACAGAAAAACCCAATATACACAAATACTAGACTGAGACAAAAAGGAGAATGTTGGTTAAAAGTGGAAGTGAGAGTGATATGGGGGACGACACACAGACAGATGGATATACAGATAGATGAATAAGTGGGATAGAGAGAGAGAGAGAGAGAGAGAGATGGAGAGAGGGGCAGAGATATGAAGCGAGAAGTAAAGCGAAGAAGTAAGATAGTAGTAGTATAATGTAAGATGGGACTGGTAAATTCTCTAGAAATGATAGGCATGGATGCGAGATGGAACAGCGAACAGCTATGAATTGACAAAAGTAAATAATAACAAACAGCTGTTTATTTCAGTCATTGTCATATTGCTGGAAAAAATAACGTTTAAGTGCATTCCTGAAACCGCATTAAGTGGGTCTCTCTTTAAAATCATCTGGGAAGGAAACTCCAAAGTCTGGGTCCTGTAGAAGTAAAAAAGTAGGGTTCTCATTTTTGGAAGATGATAGGAGCCCGTTCAAATAGTGGGTAGCTGTGTAATTGAATATTTTCATTGCTAAAAGAAATTCCGGTAACTCATTTCTACTGATCGAAAGCATAAAGTATAACAAACAGATCACGTATCTTTACATTTTTGTTAGAGTAAAAGAGTGTATCTGTATGTGCTCGAAAGTGTAAAGATTTATAATATTTATGTTTTTTTCTTCTAAAGAAGTATTAAAGATTCTGTCCAATAACGAGCCTGCACAGCTCCCCCAACTAAAGTAGAGTATAAATTCAATAATATGTGTGTCCAAAAAAAGTAATTTGATAAGTATACTAATATTTCTGGGATTATGTTACACATGTTATCAATATGTGGTTTCCCTGATAACCTTTTTGTAGTAGAAACCCTTTCAATAACAGTGATATCAAGAATAATATTTTTCTAGTTAATTCATCTTTTATATTACTAAACAACATACATTTAGTTTTCAATAAATTAAGTGATAATTTAATAGCTCTGATCCTATGTGTTATATCTTTCATTTACAAATTAATTGTTGTGGGTAAAATCAGAGGTTCTCTGTGTGAAAAGAAAATATCAAAATCGAATAATAGATGAATCAAATTTGATGACCTGTAGAAGTCATTAATATATATATATATAATATAAAATAGTGGGCCTAGAATTGAGTCCTGAGGTACACCGCGCGGTCAATATAATTAATACCTGAATAAACACCATCGACTGCTACATATTGTCTTTTATTGTGAGGAAGACCTAAACCACTCCAAGGCTTTCTTCTTATTCCATAGTTTGAGAGATTGTAAAGAAGGATGATGGTTTATCACATTAAAAGCCTTGGAGAAGTCCAGGAACACCACATCGAATGTTTAAGTTCATCAATGGAACATGCTTTTTTATTGATTAACGCGCGTCCAAAGTTAAACGTTACATGTGTTGTATTGTAGTTTGCTCATGAACCAAACTGCGAATCGTATAAGAAATATTTGAAGTGAGAAAATCAACTGCTCAAACATAAACAATTTTTTCAAGAATTTGAGATAGGCATGTCAATAAAGATATTGGTCTTTAATTTCCCAAATGTAGTGGATCCCCTATCTTCAAAATGGGAACCAATTTAGCAAGTTTCATAGCTTGAGGTAACAAAAAAGAGACAAATTAAAATGTGAACTAAGGATTGAACAATATATGGTGCAATTTTTGTTTCTAGAGACAATAACTAATTTACTCAAAACCAGAACTCTGCTTATTTTGCATTCCAGTAGTGTTTTATTTTTTTGTTTTTGTTTATTTTCTCCAAATTTATAATGTAAAGCGGAATAAAGAATTAAGTTGTAATTATTATGCCGGCGCTATACAAGTTTAAAGTTATTATAGTCCTTTAAACATCTAACTTTTTAAGCTGAATATCATTCGAACTTTTATGCACTATAATTTGCGAATGTCATTATTGTAAAATAACTCGAAATGAAAGTGTGTTCATCTGCATTTAGTTGGACATGATAACTAGCCTGTCACCAAGTCTACCTCGATGGGGGTAGTACCATAAGTATAAATTAATGTTCTGGTGGTAACAGTACAAAGTATTGTCAGTTATAATAGTTACCTTATTCAGTACATTATCTAAAAATTTACCAGTCGCAGAAATTATAGGTACCTATTCAATTTAAGAGTTCTCCAAAGCTGGATGACATCCTCAAGTTTGGCTAAACTTCGCCGCCGATGGTGCTTATCTCGACGGCATCTCTTTTTATTTATAATTTTAGAACTTTTGGTAACATTGCAAGTGAGCATGTCCTTGAGAGCCTCTGGAAACTCGGGATACCTCGCTGCGTAGATGATCGGGTTCGCGCAAGAGTTGTAGAAGCCCAGGACTGTAATCATTGAATGGAGATGGCTATTTATGTAAGATTCAGGAGCCCTACCGATGTTATAACCCTAATATGCAATATGGTTCGGAGTCCAACAGACAAGATAGATGAGGATGACGATCAGCATCATCTTCAGAACGCGGTTTCTGGCCACGATATGGAAAGATGGCATTGTTTTTCCATTGAGGCTGTTGGTCATGCCTCTAAATTGGTTGGAGCGGTGACTAAGCTTGCGAGCGATTAGAACCTGGGTAATTAGCATGGTGAGAGAAGGGACAACGAGGAGAAGGCAGAACCAATAGAAAGCTACAATGATTTTTGTCAAGCGGTTTATGTACTGCTCCTTGCACTTGTTGGTAAAGGTGTCAACAGTACGAGTAAATGAGCCAAAAAGTCCAGATAAGACGGAAAGGACCCAAATGATAACGATCAGGGTCGAGACACGTCGTGGAGTGATGAGGCGCTTGAAATGAAGAGGATGGACCACTGCAATGTACCGTTCTACAGATATAGACATCAGGAGGTACGCTGAGACCGTTATGGATGTCCAGAGCAGGCTTTGCGTGAAGACAAGTCTGCTTAAGACCTCACCCAACCAGGTCTTAGGGATGTACGCTGGCTGGGGCATGGGAATGAGGAATATCGAAGTAAGGAAGTCTGCAAAAGCCAGTCCACCGATCAGGGTATCCGTTGATCTGTTTTTACTTCGGCGATGAAAAAGAACAGCAATCACCAGGAAGTTTCCTACGATTCCTGTAATTGCCGAGGTGAGCTGTAGAATGACCAACCATGACCAATCCATCGGGCACCAGGAAAAGTTTAAAATGATCGCAGTGTTCTCACCAAATACTACGTGGGTTTCGGAAGATAGACCATAATCAACAGTTGTAGAGTTGAATATAACACATTGTTCCGTCATCGGTTGTGTCGTATTCATGATTGAAAGTGGTGATACTGTAGATCAGCCTCCCACACTGACCACTATTGAAGTCGTCTGAACATGCTTTAAGCGTTGGTCTTCTCCATGATTTCTGACCTTAGAACAGACTCAGCTACCGCAACTGACCACAGTGAAGATAGCAGCAATGTTTACAAATTGGTTAAGGTTTTCGGCATCGTCATTTCTTTGGCTGTGCTTCGAAAAAATCTCTGCTTTCCTCGTAATAGTCTTCGGAGAGAGTACATTATTATCCATATACATCATCGCACATCTTTTCGGCATCGTCATTTCTTTGGCTGTGCTTCGAAAAAATCTCTGCTTTCCTCGTTATAGTCTTCGGGGAGAGTACATTATTATCCATATACATCATCGCACATCTTTTATGAAATTTCAACATGTGTGGTCACATAAAATCATACTAGCAAAAAATGGGTCGTCATACAAGCAAAGCTTGAGCTCGCGTCCTCATTTCATTCAATAGTTCATTGTAATGTAACTGAATACATGTCAAACAAAAATGACAAATTGTGGGTGATGCCTAATTAGATTTGATGCTCATTTGTGTGTTGAACATCATCCCACATATTCAAATTTTCAACATGACATGTAATGGTCACCTAAATCAAAATGCAGTGAAATTGGTTTTGTATTTTGTCTACCGCAATACGGGCGATGGTAAAATACGACCGTTAATCAGGTACAATGATCAGGGACTTTGAACCAGATTGCATTTTCGATTCACGAGGCAGAAGTGATCAATCATTATTTATCATTGATTTCGGCAGACTCTAATTAAGTTTGTTATAATTTTCATGAACAATACAAACATTTTGTCGAAATATTAGCTCATCTTAATCAGGCTTCATTTAGGCCATCGAGTAGGGTATCTGTAAACAAAGATAATGAAATGGTATAATGGAACAACATGACTGAGGTGTTGGAACCTGATGTAATTTAAATCAAAGTATCCAGAACGGAGCATATTGGAGAAAATTACATAAATTATAGTGAAAAAAAAGAACATTTGGACACTTAAGAGAACTGAACTAAATGATAACCATGATTGTACAGGGGGAAAAACATTCAAGGTACATTGTTTTGGAGAAAGGCACAGGCCTATTCTTCAAATGTTATTTGGGTGTGTCAGAGTCACTATAGAGTTTATCTATCACTGTTTAATAATGCATGTATAGTAAGCCGGACAAATATGAAAACCCTTTATTTGTAAGGCATCACTCCTTCTTTCACCCCAAATGATAAAAAGAAAGAGAGACAGGAAGAGATAGATATATATATATATAGAGAGAGAGAGAGAGAGAGAGAGAGAGAGAGAGGGGGAAAAGAGAGAGAGGGGGGGGGTCGAGTTCGCGATGCTGTACTCAAAGCACGCAAAAAGATGAAATGAAGTGGCCTAGCAATTGATGAATCACTAACTGCTAGTAATCAGGAATTGGTCTGGTCTACCAAAAATCATCACAAACTAACGGAAGCATGGGTTTCACGATGGCAGAATCAAAGCCCTTGTAAACGGGTCTGACAACAAACAATACAAGAAACTGATTAGAGAGAAAAATGATCTGGACAAATTATAATCAATCAATGAAACAATCTATAGGAAACAAAATTATTTTTTCAAACTAATACATTTTGTTTACCCCATTGCATTTGCTTTTTCTTAATGCTCGATTGTAACTGAACTTTAGATGTACTTTTTTATAACTTGTTCATAAGTGAAGTAAGTCATTGTTTGTTGTTGTAGGGTTTTGATTTTTGTTCCCTTTTGTGTGAGTGCTGAACGCTGCTGATAAAAGTGTGTGACTTCGTATTTCCGTTTAGTACTCTTTCTAATTTAGAGTTTGGTAATTTATTCAATGATGGACATATTTTAATTGATAATAGTGATATATTGAATGAACATACTGATAATTGTTTGGATGATTTAAATGATAATATTGATCCTGATAAAAAACTGATATACCTGATGTAAACATTAGATACTGGCTACCAGAAGAACCTAGAACATGTCATGAAATGACAAGTGGAGTTGAATTTAGTGTCATTCATTTCAATTCAAGAAGTATGTGTACAATTTTTGATGCAATCCATGATTTCATATGTGAATTACATTGTCAATTTTCAGTGTATGGGTTTAGTGAAACCTGAGTATATAGTCGAACGCTTTTGATATCGTTATTTAATATTCATAATTACACATTGTTTCATAGTGACAGACTTTGAATGTCAATGAGAGATAAGATCTTCACTTATCACCCAACCTGTGGGAATCTCTTTTTATTGAAATCGATGTACCGAAACGTAAAAATGTTATTGTTGCCGTTATATATAGAAACCAACATACAAATATTCATGATTTTAATATAGCTATTAATGAGTCGTCGCCTAGCTGACAGAAGGGCGTTAGCACTACATCGCCTCAAACTTTTTTAAACTGACGTATTTCCGAAAAATTGTGACCATGTAGTCTTTAAAGTTTTAAACCAATTTTTGGGATGGAAAGCAGTTTCAAGTTTCAAGTTTATTTGTTTCACATTTCACAAAAAAAGAATTCACATAATTGACAAGATTAGAACATAATATGAAAGATACTAAAAGTGTCACATTATATAAATAATTCTTTGAAAAGACGTCGAAATTAATTGTATTGAATAGAAGGTTGACTTGACTTTGACTTAGGTGCATAGGACGGTGTGTCCCCTTGCTCCCCTACGAGAAATCATGCTCCAGTCTGATCTGTCGTGGACTCGTTGTTCTGCCTCTTGTGTGGATAATCCCACATCGCATAGAACCTGGTCCTTCCATCTCTTTGGAGGGCGTCCCCGTGGTCTGCGTCCATAAAAGTCATTTTGGAATGCTTGGTATGGTAGGCGGTGATGCGGCATGCGTAAAACATGGCCAAACCATTTCAAGCGACGTTTGGTTATTTCCTCGCATATGGTGCTTGGGACATTCAGTCTCTGCCTGATCGCATCGTTCCTTATCTTGTCCATTAGGTGAACTCCAAGGATGGTCCGGAGACACCTCATTTCAAATACCTCAAGCTTATTTCTATCAGACTTTCGGAGAGTCCAGGATTCTGCTCCATATGTGGCAATAGGGAGGATAAGTGCTCTGTAGATCCTGACTTTGAGTCTCCTAGAAATATCTTGGTTGGACCAGATGGCACTTTTCAGTCTTCCGAATGCCCAAGCAGCAAGTCTTGTACGTCTCTTCACGTCCTCTTCTATAGATGGAACTGTGCTGCCGAGAAATACAAATTTTTCCACTTTCTCAATGTTGGTGTTGTTAAGTAAAATATCTTGTTGATCCTCTGTCATGACTTTGCATTTTGTTGCATTGATTTTCATACCCCATCTTCTACATGCTTTCTCCAGTTCATTTGTTGAGATTTGGAGGTTTTCAAATACGAGTTCCATAAGGGTGGTGTCATCTGCATATCTGATGTTGTTGATACGCATGTCACCCATCTGTATTCCACTATCTAGTTGTTGGATGTCCTTCATCACATATTCCAGGAATAGGTTGAAGAGGCTTGGAGAGAGGAGGCAGCCTTGTCTTACCCCAGTTATGACATCAAACCATTCAGTTATCTTTCCATTCACCATAACAGAGCATTTGGTTTGTTTGTACATGCTCTCTATGAGGTCAACTAAGGACTTGTCCACTCCAATGGAACGCAGACATTTCCAGAGAGCTTCTCGCCATATGGTATCAAATGCTGCTTTAAAGTCAACAAAGTTCAAGTGGATTGGTATTCTTCTTTCTCTGGCCTTTTCGATGATTTGTCTAACGACAAACACAGCATCTGTGGTGCCCCTACAGCTTCTGAATCCACATTGTTCCTCAGTCAGATGGTTCTCGATGGTTCCCTGTATTCTCATGAGGACCATTCTACAGAAAACTTTCCCGGGTATGGAGAGTAGAGTTATAGCTCTGTAGTTGGATGGATCCAGCTTGTCTCCTTTCTTAAACACTGGAGTGATAAGACCCTTGCTCCAGTCTTCCGGGGTTACACCTTCCGACCATGCTGCATTTATTATTTTGAGCAGGAGTTGTCTCATTGGTTGTCCACCAGCCTTTAGAGTTTCGGCAGCTATTTTGTCCCACCCGCAGGCCTTGTTGTTCTTCAATAGTTTTATTGCCGTCTCTACTTCTTCAATTGTGAAAGGTTCACTTGGGTTATCTGTAGGTTGTGGGTCAGGTATGGTCAGAAGAGCATTTTCGTCCCTTGGAAATTGCGTGTTAAGGTGAACGCTAAAATGTACTTCCCAGCATTTCAACACATCTGCGGGAGCAGTCTTTAAGATGCCGTCCTTGTTCTTCACGGCAGGTTGCATTTTGTCTCTCTCACCAGATAGTTTCTTCACCTTCTTGAAGAGCTAATGGCTGTTGTTCTTCGCGTGAGCTAATTCCATCTCTTCCACCTCCGTGTCAAGAATTTTCTTCTTCCACTTCTTCACTTCATACTTAACTGCTTTATTCAGTTTTGTGTAGCTTTTCTTGTTGCAGTCCGAGGGATTGTTCATCATGAGGATTCTGGCTTTCCTCCTTTGTTCACAGGCCTTACAAACCTCCTCTGGGAGACCTTTAACTTGTCTCGACCTTTTGAAGCCTACAATTTCCTCTGAGATATTATTGGTTGTATCTCTGAATTTCTTCCACAGCTCATCAACATCTGTGTCTGGGAGCTGAAGTAGTGGTTCAAAGGCACCTCCAATCCTGGCTTTGAATGTTTCTACAATGTTAGAGTCATTAAATCTGCCCACGTCATAGGTTTTCGGGAGGCTCTTCATTCGCTTGGTCTTTGTGGGTGAGAACTTCACATTAGCCAGTACTAGATTGTGGTCTGACCCAATGTCAGCTGAGCAGTACGATCTGCAGTTCTGGAACGTCTTTATATTTCCTAATTTGGTAATAATGAAGTCTATCTGGTTTCTGTAATGCCCACCTGGGGATGTCCATGTTGCCCTTCTACATTCTTTGTGTTGGAAGTAGGTGTTACACACTGCCATTCCGTGTAACATGCAGAACTCAAGAAGTTTCTCCCCTCTTCTGTTGATCTGACCTAATCCAAACTTGCCCAAAGTTGGTGCCCATACTCCATGGTCTGCTCCTACTTTCGCATTAAGGTCACCCATGACAATTATATTCTCCTTCCTAGGTACCTTCTGGATATGCAACTGGAGTGCATCATAGAAAAGGTCACTTTCTTGTTCACTATGTGCAGATGTAGGGGCGTAAACCTGGATGATATTCATGATCTCTTCTTCCATGTTGAATTTCGCTGTGATGATCCTCGGTGAGACTGCTTCGTAGCTCACCAAGCAATGCAGGATTTGCTGGGAAATCATGATGCCGACTCCCTCCCGACTCGTGTTATCTTTCCTGCTTGATAAAAGGATTGAGTACTCCTCTTTGTTTATAAGCGTCTCTCTGCCAGTCAGGTGTGTCTCACACAAACCTAGAATATCCAGGTCAAATCTCCGAGCTTCTTCGAGGAGTATATCCCAGTGCCCTGCTTTCTTCAGTGTTCTCACATTCCAGGTTCCGATGTTCAGCACACCAGATTTCCTTGTGTTGTGAGAGGACTGTGAGGTGGCATCTTTAGTCATGTCATGTACTTTATCTGTTCGAGGTCGATGGTTATCCTTTTTCTGGGTACTTACACTATTAGAGGGTGCAGTTACTCCCTTTGCATTGTTGTTCTTGTTCTTCTTCTTCTTCTTCTTCATGGTGTTCTCTTCTGTCGATGTACTCCGCTTTCCTGAATTCTTCTCTGCTACATTGTGTACCTGTGGAATTGGCAGCAAATCATCCGGCAGATTCTTCGCACCCCTGCCTCTCTGCTGCCAGCAAGCAGCCACCGGGACTCGGGGCCGTAACGGGGGAACAACTTTCATAATAATATCTCGTAGAGGTGTGGCCTGTATACAAACTGGGCACGCGGCCGCTGACTTCCCAGCCGGGTGCAGCAAGATGTTCTGCTGTAACAAGGCAGAGGCCACCACCCTCCACCTTGTGGTTTATTTCAGGTTTTCCTTCCCTACCCAGAGCCCCTGTTGGTTTCTCAGGCCGCAAAGCTTGAGGTATCCAGTCAGTACCACGAGGAGGTAGGGGTTGAGTTACAAACAGAGAGGCGATTATGGAAAGGTAGACTGATTGGGTGCTACCAGTACATACAGCTAGGAGTAGGAGATAAGAGGAGAGGGAATTAAGAGCAAGCAGAAAGGGATACACATGCGAGGGGACATGCAAGGAAGAAAGGGTTACAGCTGGAGTTGCGCATCTGCATGCTGTACTGAATAGAAGGTTATACAGGTTTAAATAAAATTTTAAAAAATTAACCAAAGTGCGTGATAAAAATGTTAAAGCTGTAATCTTTTATAATGACACCACTGACCACTTAACTATTTTTTTAAAAACTAAAATAATATTAGTGTGAACGTCATTGAGTCCAATCAATCCAACTACTCTAAGAGATGTATAAATTCTACATCAACCGGTGCCTTGAAAAAAGAGCTCTCGAAGATTGGTTGGACTGATGTTTAGATATTTGATGATGTTGACTATACTGTGCTTATAATCGATGTTTTTGGTATAAATTCAATGAAGCTGTAGATAAAGAGTGTTTAAAGAAATATCATAGTAAAAAGGAATCCAATCCTAGGAAACCCTGGGTATCTCCTTTAATATCAAAGTGCATAAACAAGAAAAAAAGAATATATAAGATATTTTTTGTCAAACGTGATGTTCAATCACATACCAAATTCAAAAGATATCGTAACGTATTAAACACTACACTCAAAATAGCTCGGAAACAAGTAAATAAACATAATCTTGCAAAAGTATGGTAAATTATAAACAATCTAATTGGTAATAAAAGAAAGTAAGATTTTTCTTTGTTTTTTATGAAAACGGGATTAAAATAGAAAAAGATGAAAAAATCGGGTTTCATATTGCTCCAGTTGTCTCATTTTCGCCAGCACAAACGTAGCTAGTTCGCTGTCACTACCAAACTAGAATGTTCCACTATGTTGCAGGGTGTATATGCCATTGGGTATGATGTGTGAACCGGGTGTGCGGAAATGGTGTGTTGGGGAGGGGAAGTGAGAGTGTTCATGTGTGTGGTAATACTATGTGTGTCAACAATTAAAGACTAATACATGACAGATGGCTAATCATAAATCTACAATGACGAGTAAACTGTGTACATCACAGTCCACAGATAAATGTGCCTTGAACGTATATAGCAGACGGCAATCGGCGGATCAGACGACACTTGACAGTGATTTTGTATGTGAGATTGTTTTGCTAAATATAAAATACAAGAACCTTTTCCATATCTTTAAACTATCATTGATATCAGATAATTAAACAGTTAGTAAAATTAACCTACCAAACTACATAATACAATGAAATACTTGACTGAAAGTAGGGAAGTTTGATGTGGTTCACAATTGCACCCCTCTGTAAATAATCTAATAGTTCAGGTGTTCATGAATATTCATGTTTTAGCTTACCTCGGCAAAATGCTTGCCTATACTAAATGGAAAAATTACGGTGGGGGGGGGGGGGGGGTGGCCGAAATGGACATAATAAACAAATCAGAACTGATCTATGATAATTCATGCTTGTTATCCTTCGTGTGCTTGACTTATAACCTTACAATCGAGTGGCAAATTGCGTCCAAAGTTCGACTTGTTGCACATGTGTTATATAGGCAATGGCGAGCTGGCGACCTATTTTGACCAAATTACGGTGGTTAAACTTTCAAAAGTCAATGGGACATGAGGGTTCCAATGAAAGAGCTAGTGATAACGTACGTCGGGGTGGATGTGTTTTTCGTTTAAAAAAAAAAAAAAGAAGAATTTTTAACGTTTTTTTTGTTGTTGGTAAAAGTTCATAGGCTAACATGTTTATAGGCTGCTGGACTCTGACGATAGGGGGCGTTGTCAAATGAGACTAAACGGAGCTATATGAATGACTAATTTTCAAGTATTGCCTTATTGGCTCAAGCAAAACTGAAACAATTAGTACATCCTCATTTTACATCATACTTAAGGAATCCTTGTGATAAATCGTTATTTTTATATCCAACAAATGCAAATGAAATTATTAATATTGTAAAAAAGCTTAAAAGTACCAATGGTACAGGTTTTGATAATATTCTCAAGCTCAAACTTAATAAAGAAGGTTATTCAGGTAATAGCGGAACCATTAGTTCATATCGAAAATTAATCTTTTTGTTCTGGTAAAGTCCCTATTGTGAATGAAAATGGGTAAGATAATCCCCGTATTTAAAAAAGGTGACAAACATTTATTTTCAAATTATAGCCTCATTACTTTATTACCTTGTTTCTCAAAAGTATTGGAAAAACTGTATATAATACTACTATAGAACTCTTTTTAATTTAACCCTAATAAGACCGGGGGGCATTATGCCCCTCCCCCCTCCACGATTTTCCCAATTGCTCGGGAACGCATATGGATGGCGCCCCGCCGCTCGCTGACTTTTTTCTTTCGTGTCTTGCGCAACTTTTAAAATAGATTTTTTGAAAATCGGACCTACGGTTACAAGGTCACGTGACCTTTTGTCTTTGCATGTCAGCCGAAAATCGCTCATTTTCGTGATTTGTTTACAAAACATATGGAAAAGTCATTTTTCCTAAAAACAGATCAAACATGGGTTATTGGGTCTTGTTTAAAGTTAAGGTGGTTGTTTTGGGAGTCAAAATAGTTGAATTGTAGTAGGAAATGAAATAAAACAACAAAAACAATGAATTACATAAGTGAAAAAAACAATGAAATACATGAGAAATTATCAAAACAAGGGATAACATAAGGAATAAGCTGCCTCTTCCAAATTTGTTTGTCGTATTATTATTCAGAATGGTTTAATGAATATATGTAGTGAAAAAGAATGCTTAAATATGAATTATATATGATTTTTATGACTTTATTTTCATAAATTACCATAAATATGCAAATGAGTGAATTTTTCAAAAAATTGAAATTTCATATTATTCTATACACTTCACCTGACATGCGGGAATCGGCCGCTTCGCGACCGAGATCTTAAGGGGGGCCCATAATGCCCCCCCCCCGGCCGTACTAAAACCTCAAATAGCCCGGCCTTTTTAGGGTTAAATAAACAAGACTTATTAAATAATGCTCAATATGGTTTTAGACCAGGCCACTCCTGTGATCATGCCCCTTTTGACTTACACAATGTACTTTCAAAGTAAATTCCTTTCAAAGTAATTTTTATTCTTTTGGCATTTTTCTTGATTTAACTAAAGCTTTCGACCATTAACCAAAAACTGCACGAATTATCATATTTTGGAATTCGGGGCATAATATGGGATTGCTTTTTTAGTTATTTTAATGATCGATATCAATTTACTCTTTATACAAATTGTCAATCTTCATATTCCAAGGTCCAGTGTGGAGTACCTCAAGGCTCAATACTGGGCCCTTTCTTATTCATTTTCTATGTTAATGACTTATGTAACGCATCATCCTTTTTCCATTTTGCACTTTTTGCAGACGACACCAACATTATTTCGTCACATAGTAACTTTGATGAACTATTGTATGAAACTAAGGTGGCAGCCTGGGTCGAAGCTAATAAGTTAATAATTAATTACAGTAAAACTAATGTCATGCATTTTTGTAAAACCAAAAATTTCTCACAATATATCTGATGTTAACTTAGAAATGGGTAGGACAGTCTTGAATACAACTAAAACAATGACAATTCTTGGTGTTATTTTAGATGACAAACAAACTTTTCTTAATCATCGTTTACATATATGTAGGAAAACATCTAAAAATGTTGGAATACTGTGTAAATTAAGATCCATATTACCTGAAAAAACTTCGTCATGCTATACAACTCCGTGATACCTCTTTTCATTAAATACTGTACATGGGCTAGTTTTGGAATAACAAAACTAGATCCAATTCACAAACTTCAGAAAAAAGCACTCCACATTTGTACTAATTCTCTCTATCTAGCGCCATCTAGACCTTTATTCTTTAAATTAAAAACAATGACAGTCAATAATATTAATCAATTTAAAATCGCTACACTTATGCATGCTGTTTAAAATAGATATGCTCCTAATAATATAATAAGTCTTTTTCAATACAACTTTGAGTTCCATCAGTATAATACTCGCTCATCAAATAATTTCCATTTTCCTATAGCAACATCTAATCTAATCCTGAATTCTTTTTAACATACTGGGCCACGAATCTGGAATAATCTTGATACTACTCTTTTTCATGTACAACTATTTCCTTTTATTTAAAGTTGAATTTAGAAAAATTATTATTAATACTTATGCTTAATCATGATTTTTTTTTAAATACATATCGTTTATTTTTTTGTATACAATGTGTTTTTATCTGACATGTACACACATTGTAATAATCTGGAGGCTTCCTATTTTCAAGTGTATACTTTTTGTTGTCCTCCTTTTCTTGGTCAAATGTGGTTATTTACGAATGTACAATCTGATGTTTTATTTGATGTTCAAGAATAAAATGAATTGAATTGAATTGAATTGAGATAGAAAGAGAGAGAGAGAGAGAGAGAGAGAGGAGAAATAGAGATGCACATTTTCAAGGCAAGAGGCTTTTTTTTAGAGCTCTATGCATTGTACCTAACCTTATACAATCTTATGGTTTTTATTACAATTAAAAAAAAGTCATTACTGAATGCTGTATTTTTCAACAGCCATCCATCCATCCCCTTTCATCTGTTGATTGCAATACAGAATCATTGCATTTTTATCCTCACTCACTCATTTTTATAAATTCTGTGTTGTTGTTCTCAGATTCTGTATTTTACACATACAAGTATTGTCATTAGTTCAATCGATGGGCTAAAGTATGA